GCAAAGGATACACTGACAAAGGAGATTAATCAGAACTGACTTTGACAAGCACTGTGGCAATTGGACAATTAAAACAGACATTCGGATGGCGGGGAAGAAGAACAAACTGGGGAGGAGGGTAGAGAAAATGGTACAGCAATGAAGGAATGAAAACCCAAAATCCCTGTAAATGTTCATTAAAACTAATAAAATTTAATAATTAAAAAAATAAAGCAAATGGTCACTTTCCAAAACCTTCCATGAGTCAGGTTATGAAAATAAGTAGTACCTGATCTCAGGAACATTGCTAGCTTAATAAGATCTGTAATTTGGGGGTAAATGTTTGTTATTAAGTGCCTTTGCTGCTTGAACTACTGAGGTTAGTCACTCTGATTTTCACTTAAAAGAAAGGCTACACTGCTTTAATATTTGTTAAATCAGTGAGGCAGTTTTGACCTTGTTGTTGTGTACCATGGAGTCAGAACCAACCCATAGCTGACCCTCTGGCAGATTTTCAGAGGCAGTTAATTGCACAGGAGGAGAATGCCCATCCTTCTTCCATGGAGCAGCTGGTAGACTCGATACCATGTGCCTTTGGGACTGTAGTGCAGCTTCTTGCCACTAGGCCACCAGAGCTCCCTTTTGTTTTGATGTGGTTAGGTGCCATCACGTCAAGTATGACTAATAATGACCCTATGAACAAAAGATCTGAACCCTGTTCTATCCTTTATCATTATTACACTTCCCAACACACAAAAGCCCATTGCTGCAGTTACCATGTCAATCCACCTGGTTGAGGGTCTTCCTCTCCTTCACCAACCTTCTACCCTTCCCAGCATCATCACTCTCTCCAAGGAATAATACCTCCTAGGAATATGCCCAACATATGTGAGGCGAAGTCTCATCATTCTTGCCTCCACTCTGGCTGCTCCCTCTCCAAGATATATCTGTTTGTTCTCTTTGAGCAGCTGGATTTAGGAGGGAAAGTTGTTTTGATTTACTTGAAAATCGAGTGTAAAATGTTTAGGCATTTTTATTTTGTTAACAATCAAGTGTAAGATGATTAGCCATTGTGATTTCATTAACAATCAGCTGTGGGCTGGAAGCCTCTAGTTTAAGCAATCAGGACATTTAATAGTTGGTTGGGTCCTGATGGAGAGTCTCCAGCTTGGAGTAGTCAGATTCTAGAGGGTACGTTGTTTTTAATTACTTGGAAGTCGAGTGCACACTATTTGGTTTTAATTGTGTCTGGGGAGAACATTGTACTAAGTGGTACAGCACTTGTCTGTCAGTTTGCTGTACTGAGATAACTTGGGGTTGCTGTGATACTGAAAGCTGTTGCACTCGTGTATCAAATGCCATAAGGGTTACCTGAGGTGGACAGGTTTTGGTGGAATTCCCTCATTAAGACAGACTAAGAAGCAGGATAGACTATCTGCTTCCTACTAACAGTCCTTTGAAAACTCTATGAACACTAAAGGAATGAGCATAGTTTTTACCTTACCAGTTGCAAAATGATAGAAGGATAGAGTCTTTGTGTTGTGATGCTGGAAAAGTATCTCAAAGATACTGTGACTGCCAGGAAAACAAATAGGTTTGTCCTGGAGAGGGTGAAACCAGTTTGCTCCCTGGAGGCAAGGTTTTTTTAAGCTCCATCTCACATATTTTGGGCAGATAGCCAGCCAAGAGGGACCAATCCTTGGAGAGGGACATCATGCTTGGAAGGATAGAGAGACAGTGCAGGACAGGAAGACCCAGTATGAGATGGATTAACTCAGTGACTGGAGAAATGGGATTAAGTCTGTTGGAGATAATGAGATGGGCTCAAAATAGGGCAGGTTTCAAAGCTAATGTACATAGGGTCATTATGAGTCACAGGCGACTTGATGGCACATAACAACAACAACAACAACCCATTACCAAAAGAACAAAGATGTCTGTTTAAAGACTAAGGTGTACTTGACTCAAGTCATGGTATTTTTAATCACTTCATATGCATGTGAAAGCTGAATAAAAAACAAGAAAGATCAAAGAAGAAGTAATGCTTTTCAATTGCAGTGTTGACAAAAAAAAATGTGGGCTACATCATAGACTACTAAAAGAACAAACAAATCTACCTTGGAGGAAATGCAATTAGTGTACTTCTTGGAGGCAAGAATGGTGAGAATTCATCTCACATATTTTGGGCACACTGTTAAGAGGCACCAGTCCTCGGGAAAAGGCATCATCCTTGGAAAAGGCGAGGGTTAGTAAAGGAGAGGAAAACCTCCAACAAGATGGGCTGACACAGTGACAGTACCAATGATCTTGAGCATAACAGATAATGAGAACAGCACAGGATAGGGAAAGTTTCAATTTGTTGTTCAAAGGATTGCTGTGAGTGGTAGCAGATTCAATAGCACCTAGCAACAACACACTGTGTTTCCAACTCCTGGTGCCCCCAAGTGTATCAGCATAGATCTGTGCTCTATAATGTTTGCAGAGCTAATGTTTCAGAAGTAGATCACCAGACCTGTCTTTTGAGATGTCTCTGGGTGGACTACAATCTCAACTAAGTATGTGTTGACATTCTGTGATGCCTAGTAACTCCTGTTCTAACATCACACAATATGATTTCTATTTCTCATACTTGTGAAAGATTCAAAATCTTTGAATATTTGGTCACTACTAGGTATCCTCTTGCAAATTTATACCTTTCCCAATCTTTAACTGAAACAAAACACTCAGTTAAACAAAAGGCCAGGCCCTACGTGGTCTGTATACACAGAGCTGCATTAGTCACAGTTTCAGATATCCGATTCCAGCTACCTGGAAATTTTGAGGTGAGCAAATCCAGATAGCAAAATTTTCCAGAACTTTCCTTTCTGGGAAAGGGATGGTTGGAGACTAATCTTTTTATGTACAAGACTATTTGAAAGTTTATTCACTATATAAATGATACTGAATACCAATTATTGTACCCACCTGATAGAAAGAAGCCCTCAAGCTCTGTCCAAAATTAGTCTAGGCCATTGTGTACTCTGTGATCCTTGTTCTTCTTATCTTTGCCAAATCTAACACCTTCATTTCTGTTCTTAATCTCATCTTTGCCCATTTTTTTCTAAAAATATATTCTAACTTCTCTTCAATCTCTTTCACCTATCCACAAACCTGTTCAAGGCCCCTTAATTCTACAAAAAAATTACACAAAAACCAAAACTTCCATCTTTCCGTCTAGTGACCATTATCTGAAGTTGTTAGTTCCTATTCTTCCTCAGATCATCAGCTAATATTGTGCTTCTCAACCCTAGTTGCATATTACAATCATCTGGAAGCTTTTTATGAGGGGGGGAACCCAAATAAAAACCATGACATTTGATCCAAAGCTTACAACTAGTTTTTATCATGTGGAAAAAAAGCAATGAAGAGTCAATTTAAAGATGTATATTGAGTGGAGGGCTAATTGCATCCATGAATGACTGACTCTATGGCCATGAAACCAGAAGGATGGTGTCCAGTTTATATTACTGGGCATTTTGATCAAAGATTCTAAACATGACTACTGATCAAAAGGGAGAAAATAGAAAACAAAATTTCAAATTTTTAGAAACTCTAGACTTTCTAGGGCAATGGAGGGTGTATAAATCCCTGAAAACACTGCCCTGAGATAATCTCTA